TCTTGAGTCGGCGATAGTCTATGTAGTTATCAGCCCATTCTGCAATAGCGTAACGTCTTAGCTGCTTCTCAAACTTCATTGTATACTAGTAGTCGATAGAGACAGTGATGACGTTGATGATGAGGGAATAATACAGGATTAAGACTTCCCCTAGTAGGAGCCAGAAAGAAGGAGGAGGAGAAGAAGAAGAAAGGATGTGGTTAAAAACTACTGTGTTGTCAAGTATAATCTTCGGCTCTATTATCCCCAACGCAAAGCTATCATCGGAACCACACGGAAAAGTAAGGTAAGTGATGGTTCAAATTACAACAAAAGTGTAACTGCCGAATGGTTATTCAAAAGTCGAGAACACTGCTGTTGCTCTACCCGAATGTAAGGAGTAGAATTCCACCATAGGAAGTCAGCTAAGGCTATTCTGATCTGTTGTCTTTATTGGACATGAAACGCTTGACGAACCTGAAGATATGATTATAGTATGTGCGGTCACTGGGTATGGATGGCTACTGTGGATAGTTGAGGAATATCACAATGGATGGTACTATAACAGCGGCTATGATGAAGTTCTTAGCAAGGGCTTGCATCCAATTGCCACGAACTCCATGACGCTGTATCTTATTCGATCTAGATATGCTACCAACGATCTCAGGGTGGTAGTATCGTGCCTGATGAAGGGATCATAATAGGCGGATAATAGAACGAATCCTACATGTACAGCAATTCCATGCAGTACAACAGCTGACCTTGCAGCGGCCTTCACCACTTGTTTGGTCGCTAGGTCACGCCATTTCGCATGGACTTCATCATCTATCTGGTACCTATAGACTTCACCATTATGCATCAAGAATAGGGCTCATTCTTAGACATTACGTTCTAGGCACCTCTCGTCCTCTACCACCAGCAATCACAGAATAGATATCACTACACGACATCTCCATGGATTCTGCTATCCACTCAGCTATACCTATAATGACAACAGCCTTCGAAAGCAGTACAGCATGCCCACGAGTAATACCTTTGCTGTAGATCTTCTTCACTAGCTGTATGCCATACCCACCGTTTAGGACTAGCTTATCCAACTCAGTGTTATATGCATCCAGAACAAGTTGCGTATCAAGGTTAACAGCCGAGGAGATCTAGCAGCAGTAAGCACGACAAAGTATAGTCAGTCTACCCATTACCGTATATTACATCACGCTCCCAGAAGTCATACAAATTGGTGCTAGGATCATCATGATACTGTACGCTGATCCTGCGGCCATGATTATCAGCTCCGAAGCCAGTATGAAGAGGTTGATGCAAATCCTGCACTAGCCCTGTGATGATGAATCAGTTGTCTAAAGCGGTCACTCCTACCACCCGAACACTACC